TAATACTTGCGCCGGGTATTTAATGTTCGGCTCCGCCCGAACTTAGACTCTCTTACTTGTTTAATTTTGAAATCAAAAAATATTTAGAGGTCGCTAAAAGCGCCCAAAGTTTTCCATGTTTTTTATATGGAGAAAAAAACTTTTCGTAGAAATGGTATAGAATTCAAAAAAAAATAATTTTTTTCTATCGGAAAACTCTTTTCATCTGCAGAATATACCCAGTAAAAACACGAAATTGTTTATTTAACCATTTTTTCATCGCAACTATAATTTATAGGTCCACAAAAAACCCCGAAAAATGCCATTTAGGGACAAATAAAAAATTGTTAGTATTAAAAAATGGTTAAATAAATAAATGGGTATTATTATTATAAGTCTCCTGAAGAGAACCAGAGTTTTCCGATCGAAAAATATTGATTTTCAAGAATTCTATACCATTTATACGAAAATCTGTTTTTCCCATATAAAAATACATGAAAAACTTTGAGCACTTTGAGTGACCTCTAAATATTTTTTGATTTTAAAATAAAAATAGGGGTATGCTTTTTTCTATATAGAACAATCCTAGGGGGTGAGAGCATTACAATTCCGACTTTACTGTTTTGTGCCACCCTAATATACTTGCAGTCATATCAAGAGCACCTCATTTCAAAGTGATGTTGTTTTCCACTTATGTTTATTTATTTATTTTTAAGAATTTTCATTAAAATAAAGTTCATTCTCTGAAAAAAATCCATATAAACCCATATTTAAAACTTTGTAGAAAACTAAAAAAAAATCTAAAAATGTTCATCCAAATTTCAAAATTATTTTCTCAGAATTTTTTGAGTATATAGATTTAAAGCCCTTTCAAATTTATTGCAATAATGTGCAAGTTTCAAGTGGCTTAAAATTTCCGTTGTTGCGGTTTTCTTCCATATAAAAATAAATTGTGTTTATTCGTTATATGGGAGCAAATGCGACAAAAAGAATCAAAGGTAATTTTAAGGCTCTTGAAACTTACACATTATCACACTACAATTGAATCGGCTATAAAGCTTCATACTAAACAAAATTTTAACATTTCTGAGTAAATAAGTTTAAAATTTGTTGACTTTTTTTTAGATTTCTACAAAGTTTTTAGCGTGGGTTTACAGGTTTTTTTTTTAAATGAACTTCATTTTAATTGAAATTGAAATACTGAAAACAAATTTTCAATGGTTAACCATGAAACAATATGAATTGCATAAAGCTTAAAGGGGAAAAATGCCTTTAAAAAAAAGAAAAGTGGATGATCTCCAGCAAATGATCATTTTCAATTTCATGAATTTTATAATACAATTTTAGAAATATAAAATAAACACTTATGTAATTTCCAATATAAATTATGCCTTTATGATTTATTTTAAACCTTAATTGTACTACTCATCCACGCAAATAGTGAAATGTGCTACTCTTCCACGCAAAAATCTGAAATGCTAGTCTTCCACGCAAAAATCTGAAATGTGCTACTCTTCCACGCAAAAATCTGAAATGTGCTAGTCTTCCACGCAAATAATGTGCTACTATTCCACGCAAAAATCTGAAATGTGCTACTTTTCGACGCGAATAATGAAATGTGCTAGTCTTCCACGCTAATAGTGAAATGTGCTGGTCTTCCACGCGAATAGTGAAATGTGCTACTCTTCGTAGGGACCGACGATATAAAGTTCGCAAAAATTAAAAAAAATTTCCAACTTTATATTCTGAATTTCTAGAAAATTTTCGAGTATGTAATTTTGTAGCCCACTCAATTTCTATTCTAATGAAGTTTAAGTTTCAAACGACTAAAAAAAACACCTTGATTTAAGATATTTTTTTTTTGTGTCGGAGTTTTGAACTGTTTTTCTTATGAAATAAAATGCGGGAGGCCGCTAGCAACAAAATTAAAAGAACTCAACGGCAGTTTTTGTAAATTGAACTTATTATATAAATAAAATCAACGCGATTCTTTAGCCGGTTGAAACTTGCACTTCATTAAAATAAAATTGAATGGGCTACTAAACTGCATACCCGAAAAAGTGGAAAAGTTTGATGACAATTTTTTGAATTTTTGTGAACTTTATATGAAGTGTGAAACTTTGATTTATATGGTTTACATTATAGAATGAACAATATTTTCCTAAATAATAAATGCAAAAAATTTTTCATGAAAATAATTGTGAATATTATACTAGAACAAGGTGTACACTTTCATTTGTCGCCTAGTGTATATCTAACATATCTACTATTTGCACGGCAAGTTTTATAGTCTCTTAGATACATAATTAAAAACATTTTTTTTTTTTAATAATCTTATAAGCGTACCTACGTGTATACATCCTTATGTATAAATTTGTATGTACAAGTACATATGTAAATGCTTTGGCTGCAACCGTAAACTAGCAATTAAAATGTTGAGAATTTGGTGGCAAATTTCCACGTCAAAATTTTGTAGTTTTGTGTGGCATTAAAAATTTAATTTTAAATTTGAACTTGCACTCATTCGTATTTCCTTGTCATTCCAACGAATCAATCATTTGTGAAGCTATTAAATGGCATTTAAGATACATACATTAAAGGGTTAGATGTGAGCCGCACTGTGGGCAATTTCCAAACAAGATCAAAGTGGGAAAAAAATTAATTGGAAATTAAGGAGTTTTTATTTTATTCAGTTAAGATAAGTAGACATATAAACTTTACTTTAAATTTTTGTTGTTGTTAAAAGAAAATATAATTTATTTTAATGTTTTCACATTCACTTATTTCAAATCAATTTTTTTTTCTGTTGATTAAAATTATTGGCCAACTTTTGGATATAAACCTTGCAACTATGAAAACTCGCTCCTTCTGGTACGCTAAGCATTCGGCGACAGCTGGTTTATTGCATTTGGCAACAATTTACGCAAGCAGCGATTTGCTATGAAACTGAAAAGAAATTTCATTATACGCATATTTAAGCATACATAGTTACATTTGTACACCTACATATGCATGTACATATGTACATACACACCATATGGTTTTCATCAATCATTTTCATATAAACTATTCGAGAGTTCTTTTACAAAAGTACTTGAATAAGCATTTTGAAATACTGTTATTCCGAGTCTATAATTAAATAAAGATCAATTAAGTAAAAAAAAATTGTTTTCATTTTTGTGCGATATATGATTAATATATCGAAATTGCAATTGCTGGTACGCGAATTTATTATATATTTTGATTCAAGAGTCTTGAGTTAAACTTTTTGGTTAATGTTATTCATGCCATTGCAATGATGACACGTCCCGCATTCTGAATGTCACACTCTTTTTATTGTTCTCGAAGGATGCACCACGCTCACACATCATTGCTGTTGTCACAAGCGACTGACAAATCGGCACTATGCTGACCGTTCGAAGTAGCGCTCATTAATCACTTTCGGGCTGTTGATGTGTTTTCGCATTAGTTCTCAATTAAATTTGAATGCTCATTAATTTACCAACAGAGTGCACATATACATACATATGTCCCATAAATACTCATACATACCTACATAAATAAATATATTTAAGAATACTTTTTTTTTTTTTTGATTTTTCCAATATCTCTCGATGACGTTTCTGCAAATAATATGGCATAACAAAACTTTGTGTATATGAAGAATTCTTAAAAAAGATAGTCATACATGTAGATGAAAGATTTGCAATACATACAAAAAACGTACATATTTCACTTCTTATCACGAAAGATAGTTACAAGCATGTATTTACCTATGTACTATAACTCAAATTTAGAAGCTAAAAATCCAAGTGTTAAATTTAAAATTGATACAAACTTTATATAGCAACAACCAAGTTTGAAGTTTAACCATTATAAAAAAAAAGTAAGTTTCCTAAAATTTGTCATGAATGATTTGCTTAAAGACAAACATTAAAGTTTTGTCACAGCCAAAAACAAATTATCTCAAATCCACTGAGGAGGGAAAAACGGAAATCTTCGACAAATTCTCAGTTTATCCAAACATTACGCTTATGATTATTTAGGACTGCTAAACACTTATACCTACTAAGAAAAATATATGTATTCCTTGAGCACAGTTGATTTCTTACATTTACCACACAAATTCGTATGTAATACATTAGAGTGGTCCAAAACTAGTAAAGTCGGAATTTTAATCCTCTCACACCATAAGATTGTTCTATATAAAAAAAAACATATCCCTATTTTTGATTTTGAAATAAAATAGTATTTAGAGGTCGCTCAAAGCGTTTAAAATTTTCCATATATTTTATGTGAGAAAAACAAGTTTTCGTAGAAATGGTATAGAATTCTTGAAAATTAATATTTTTCGATGGGAAGACTAAACAGAGTCTTCAGAAGAGGAGTTTTCAGAGGAGTCCCATTAATAACACCCAATTGTTTATTTAAGCATTTATTAATAGTAATTATATTTTATAGATCAGCGAAAACCCCCAGAAAATGCCAGCAAATACAATGGGGGGATACATAAAAAATCTTTAGTATTAAAAAATGGTTAAATAAACAATTGGGTACTATTATTGGCAGTCTCCTGCAGAGAAACAAAGTTTTCCGGTCAAAAATATTGAAAAAATATTTTCAAGAATTCTATATCATTTCTACGAAAACTTGTTTTTCCCCATATATGTACATGGTAAAGCTTGACCGTTTGCACCGGCCTCAAAGTATTTTTTACTTAAAAAAAAAAAACACGGGTATAATTTTTTTTTGGTATAGAACAATCCTAGGGGATAAAAGCATTAAAATTCGGACTTTACTTTTCCACATGCATTTTTGGACCACCCTATATACATTACATATGTATGTATGCATAAATATATCCACACTATCGTCAATATTTATCATTAAAACGACTTTTCACAACCACACTTTCACAAAATCCACGCTACACCGTTTACATATTTTCATAAGAAATATTCCCTTTTTCTCTCTTCCCCATATTACACATTCTTATTGCATGCCACCACTTTTCCGTCCAGGGTCCTGATCACATACATGTCTCGAAATTCTACAAAGAAGCCAAAAATGGCAAATTCATCAGCTACATTACCGAGAATGTGCGCACCCTGTATCAGACATTTCGCGAAGGTGCCTACTCCTCCAACAATGGACCGTGCTTGGGTTGGCGCGAGACTCTCACATCACCATATCAGGTAAGTTTGCATATGAATGGGTAACAACTACTGTTATTAAAGTGTGATTAACATACCTAAAATAAGCAAAAATAAAATAAAATTCTACTTACTTACCCCCCTCTGTATCACAGTGGATCAATTACGATGAGGCGTTGTTGCGCGCCAAAAATTTCGGTGCTGGCATGATTGCCTTGGGTGCGCGTCCCAAGCAGTTGGTTGGCATTTATTCACAGAACCGGCCTGAGTGGATTCTCTACGAACAGGGTTGTTACTGCTTCTCGTTGGTCGTTGTGCCGCTGTACGATACGCTCGGACCAGAAGCGTGCGCGTTCATTATGCGTCAAACGGAAATGTCGCTAGTTGTTGTGGAGGACGATGCTAAGGCTTTGCTGATTTTGGATAAGGCGCCGCCCACTTTGAAGATTGTAGTGGCTATCAAGCCAATACGTCAACAAACATTGGATCGCGCCAGAAGTCGTGGTATACAGATCTTCTCGTTCATCGATGTAGAGAAATTGGGCGCCAAGGGCAACCATCCAGAGGTGCCACCGGTCTCCGAGGACTTGTGCACCGTTTGCTACACATCCGGCACAACCGGCAATCCGAAAGGTGTAATGCTGACGCATGGCAATGTGGTGGCCGGCGTGTGTGCGGTGATCTTGCAAATGGGTGAGTAATGAGCAGGAGAGAGTGCGTCTGCTGAAGTGGATGACAGAATTTGACTGAACTAATATTGCCTTTCACAGGTGAACACCGAATTCGCGCCGGCGATGTAATGATATCGTTTCTGCCATTGGCTCACATGTTCGAGCGCTGCTGTGAGAATGGCATCTACTATGTAGGTGGTTGTGTTGGCTTCTACTCGGGCGACATCAAAGAGTTGACCAATGACCTGAAAATGCTGAAACCGACCGTTATGCCGGCTGTGCCGCGTCTGCTCAATCGAGTGTATGACAAAATCCAGAATGAGATTTCCTCCTCGGCGATTAAGCGTACGCTGTTCAACATGGCGCTCAAGGCCAAGGAAAATGAGTTGTCGCGTGGAATTATGCGACGAAATGGTTGCTGGGACAAGCTGGTTTTCAAAAAGGTACACCAAGGTACGTAGCTGTCAGGGAGTGTTGGATGAACGATATGCCAACTGATGTTTCTAATATTGTGTAGCTTTTGGCGGAAATCTGCGTTTAATGGTAGTCGGATCGGCGCCGCTAGCCGGTAACGTATTGACATTCATGCGTTGTGCATTAGGTTGCTTGGTGTTGGAGGGTTACGGTCAAACAGAGTGCACCGGCGCCATCACGCTGACCGTACAAGGCGACTATGTGCCGAATCACGTGGGTCCTCCGGTGTCCTGCAACGCAGTCAAAGTAAGTACTAAGAATGCCCTTATGTCGAAGGCCGTTTGTTTAAAGAAATACTTTACAGCTTGTGGATGTGCCGGAGATGGAATATTTTGCCAGCCAAAATACTGGAGAAGTGTGCGTACGCGGTTCTAATGTGTTCCATGGGTAAGAGCGCATAGTTTGTTCATACATTTCAAAATTGTTTTGATCCTTGACTATTTAGTCGCAATAGACAAGCTCTGGGTTTTCAATAATCGGCCCAAAAAATCTTCGGTGTGTATCTCCAAAAAATTTGCCATTCCAGAATATTCTCTAAATATTTTACCAACTATCTCTGGATCAATCCACCTCAATGTTATATTATTATAGTTTCCTAATTAGGTAATCGTTTTTTAAGATAGCTACATACAACTATTTTTGTCGTTTCATATAAGTCTAGGCGCCCAACACTGCCAGATTATTTGGGTGAATCCTGATTTTGATCGCATAAATCTAACTATTGAAATATGCGCTCATTCGCAGAGTATTTATTTTCACATTTCAATTTATTTTCGAGTTCAATATGTACTTTGGTTTACCTAACACAGCTAATGGGGGTACCAAGTCTGGCCCCACACCATTCATTGGGGTTATCGCCCTACAACAATCTTACACTCACAAAAACCTATACTCTCTGAACATAAATTTACTTTCTCTTCTGTTTGCCATCGTAGTTACTATAAAGATCCCGAGAAAACTGCTGAGGCCGTCGACTCTGAAGGCTGGCATCACACAGGCGACGTCGGCATGTGGCTACAGAATGGCACGCTACGCATAATCGATCGCCGCAAGCATATTTTCAAGCTCAGCCAGGGTGAATATATTGTACCAGAGAAAATTGAGAACATTTACACGCTGAGCCAATATGTAAATCAGGTGTATGTCTATGGCGAAAGTCTCAAGGTAAGCACATTTTTTTTTTCAAAATATGTTATTACAATTTTCATTGAACAATTTATGCATATCTTCCCCGAATCCCTTTTAAGAGCTGCGTCATAGCTGTTGTCGTGCCTGATGTGGATGTGCTCAAGCAGTGGGCCAATGAGAATCGTGTTAGGGGCACACTATCTGTGCTGTGTAATAACCCACAAGTGAAGGAGCTCATCATGGGCGATATGTTGAATTGGGGAAAACAGAGCGGACTTAAATCCTTCGAACAGGTGGGTGGTCACCTAGTGAGAGGTTGTAAAAAATTGTCTGATTTAAATGATTCATATTTTCTATGTTTATTCTTTTTAGGTAAAGGATATCTACTTACATCCCGATCCATTTTCCGTGCAAAATGGCCTATTGACACCCACATTCAAAGCAAAGCGACCGCAATTGAAGAGCTACTTCAAGCCTCAGCTAGATGACATGTACAAACATTTAGATTAAATTTAAGATACAACTGTATTCCGTTTTCTAAATGCATTAAGCTGAGAGGAGTACTTGATGAACGAGTGCAGCGCGTGCGCTAAGTGTATTGAATGATGGCAAAAAATATGCCTAAAGGGAAGATGCACCACGAAAATGAGGATAGTCGTATCTACAACATAAATCTTATTCCTGCTCAGTTAAATTAAGAATGGGAGAGACCCTTGATAGCAAAAAGTTCACAAAAGTTACAAGAAAATTTACATAAGTATGTATTTTAAAAAGCTTAAAACCTATACAGTGTTTGAAATATGCGATTTCGAGATTTCGAGAGAGAAACACTAGTCGATCATAAAATAGTTAATTTCACCGCAGTTTAAATATTTATAAAATATATATGTATTTCAAATAGCCAGATTGAAAAAAAAAACAATTTAAATTTTTAACCACACTCGTCGTTAGGGCACTACAATTCATACAAAATATGTGTACTGTAAAAAGGAAGTATGGAGTAGCATATAAATGGGGGTAAGTGTATGTACATACATACATAGGTACACGGGAAAATAAAAGTAAACCAGCAGTATGATTTAGAAATTTCATAAAACGGAATACTGCAAATATTCTGAAACTCTCAATTTTCGACCACCTCAAAAATTTCGATCATCCCAAAAATTTGTGTACGGACGTATATTATTTTAAATTAGTAAACAAAGAAAAAATTGTACTTGATTTTTGCGTACTAAATTCAATTATTTAATAGAAAAATATAAAAGCGAAAAACATAAATATGAAGCTTTAAATTTTGAAAACTAATATTTGCGAATTATGCAGCAGAAACATTGGGCAATATGAATAAAAATAAGCAATTGCTTTTTCTAAAAATTTCAGACCTTTTACTCCATTTATTCAAACAAAATTGAAGTAAAAGGAATGAAGAAAAAGCAATTGCTTAATTTTTATTCATACGACCCATTAAGTAGGTATTATAAATATTGGATACATGAATTTTAAGGCGAACATTTTTAAGTACAGATATTCAAAAATATAGGAAGTTATAATAAATAGATAAAAAAAATATTTAAAATTGTATAAGTATTTAGAAATGCACATATGCACTAGCTATTATATTTTTCACATAGAAATGAAATATTATTGTATGTGCGGACATATGTATGTAAGTAACAATGTGCAATACATTTTATAATGTTATTTTTTTTTTAATATTTTATTTCCTACTAAAAATTCGTGCTTTTATTAGTTTTACGATAAAGTACTTAGTAATTTCTCAAATATTTTTTGTTCTTATGTATACGAGTATATTTCATTGAATAAAATTATTTCAAATCGAATAGAAATGTACAGCATTATTTACCTAACTTTCTTAACAGCAATTTTTTCTACGATTTTGTTTATGTGTACATATTATTTTATTTTTGTTGGTTTAAAAAATAAATGAAATAAAATGATGTGAAAAAAAAATTTAATTTAATCAAAAAAATAAAATGAAATAAAGTAAAATAAAGAGAGAATCTTATCTTAAACAAATTTATTTAATAAAAATAAATTTTTTCAAATGCCGACTTTAATATATATATTTTTTTTATTTCCTTAACCTTTAACGAAAACTCTCCTAAGCTGTATTTTTTTAGGATTTAGATAAACAAATAATAAATGTTTAAATAAATATATTGGTAGCTTAAATTTAACCGAATTTATAAAAATATATTTGAATTTCAACTTTCTGCCTTATTCTGCTGCTTTCGCTTTCAGAAAAAAACAATTTCGTCAAATACTCACTCACACATCCATACATACATATGTATATACATAAGTAGTCTATTTACAAAGCGATCAATTATTAAATTTATAGAATACAAACTAATAACTTACGCAAATATATTTAATACAAAAACAAAAATTTTATCAAAATAGGAAAAAAACAATAAACTACATATGTACTAAGTAGCGTGCAGTTTAACGGTATTAAAAAAATTTATAAATATACATATACATACATATGTATGCATAAATAGCTGACACAATGAGAAGTATGCATGTATTTACATACTGATTACTACTTTACAATTACCCAGTTAAACACATAGGTACTGGAGTCCGACCCTTTTTCCAATTTTTGGCCGATGCCGATGCCGATTCCTTAAAAAAAAACTACCTGAATATAAATTCATTCAAGAACAAATGTTTGTGACAAACTTTTATAATAACAAAAGAAAAACATAAAAAAATAACATTACAAAACAAATAATCATTCGAGAATCTATTCACTTACTATGTTTTAAAAGTACTATATCGCCTATGCATACATATCATTGCAATACTTTGTTCCATAGTCATTTTCTTATTCAATGTTAAAAAATAGTCGCATTTCTTAGCTGTACTCATAGTAGTAACAAGTAATTTTTAGCAAAAAAAACCGAGTCAACTCTCATATAAAAAAAAAATATATATATATATATATCTCATGATCCGCTGATCGGATCTTAACCAGATTAGTATGGAACCTCTGAGACACTACCTTTCCGATGCAAAAAGAATTATCGAAATCGGTTGACGTGGTCCAAAGTTATGCGGTAACATACATAAAAAAAAAAAAAAAAAAAAATATATTCCGACGAACTGATAACCTCCTCCTTTTTTGGAAGTCGGTTAAAAAAAATATGCAGGTTCTTCTAACTATAAAGTTGTTATATTGAATACAATTTGTTAGTAACAGTAACCGTAGATTTTTAATGATAGAAGTATTTTTGCAACGTAAACAATTTAACAATCCAGGGAAAAGAACCCGAAGGATTTACGAATTCAGCGATTAATTCAAGGATAATCGTAACACTATGTTCAGTAACGATATTTTAGCATTCTTTGGCTATTTCCCTTTCGTTTATTTAATGTTTTTAATTTTTTTTCATGAAAGTATAGCTCGTTATCTAACAAAAAACATGTTAGTAAAAATTTCAAACTTTTTCTTTAAATATTCTGAGTATGCAGTTTTGTAGCCCATTCGATTTTATTTTAATTCGGTGCAAATTTTATGTAACAAGGACTTACTATTGATTTTTGGAATTTTTTTTGTGGAAGGTGTTGCGGATTTTCTCTATACAACAAAAAATTTTGGAATATATTTTCTTTGGAAGAAAATGCGTGAACAAAAAATTGTCAAAAATCAACACTTACCTAGCTACTTCAAACTTGCACTTTATTATACTAAAATGTAAAAAAGTGCGTACTCAAAAAAATTCTAAACAATCTGATTAAACAGTTCCAAATTTTGATGAACATTTGTTAAAATTGCTAAAAAAAAAGTAAAAAGAATCGGCCAAAAACGGCCGATGCCGATGCAGATGCTGATGCCGATGCCAATTAATCGGTCGGACTCTAAGAGGTACCTATTTACATCAAGTTTACAAAAAGCAGAACAGTTTCGAATAATATGAATTACACTGTACAGCACTCGGCTGGGTATTGGACCAAACCGACTTTTTTTAAGAGATGGAGTCATAAAGTAAAAAAAAGTGATTCCTCCGTTTTTCGAAGTTAGCCTCCGAAATCGAGATATGGGCCTTCGAAGTTCGAAATTGGGCCTTTGGTAAAAAATTATTTTTAATTATTGCATGTAAAAAGTAAAAATACACACGGGGGCCGCCTTTTTCTCTTATTTATACGGTATATAACTTTTTTGTGAAAACTTATATTACAGATGCTATAACGGGTCAAAGGTCAGATCTTCGAAAAATTTAAAACTTAATATTTCAGAAAATTTTGAACTGATTTTTAATATGAAAAAATTGGTATTTTTTCCTTTTAAGTGTTTTTTTCTCCAATTTTTATATACAAAGTATACAAATATGCTTAATCGCCTTTACAACGCTATCAACCTTTTAAAAATTGGTTAGTAATTTTTTTGTAAATTTTTTTTTATAAAAATGGTATTTTTTAATGTGTTTTTTCTTAAATTTTTATATACGAAGTATACAAATATGTATATTATAAGAAAGGGGATTTAATCGTCTTTACAACGACACTATTTTTTTTTAAAACTGTTAGTAATTTTTTTGTTTAAAATATTTTTTTTTTATAAAAAAAGGTATTTTTTCATTTAAATGTGTTTTTTCTAAAATTTTTATATACGAAGTATACAAATATGCATATCGGAAGAAAGGAGGTTTAATCACCTTTACAACGATATAAATTTTTTTAAAATCAGTTAAAAATTGTTTGCAATATAAGGAATTTAATTTTTCGAAGACCTGAAATTTGACCCTTTATAGCACCTGAAATATAAGTTTGCGCAAAAAAAGTTATATACCATTTAAATAAGAGCAAAAGGAGGACTACGCCTATATTTTTAGGTTTTTAGTTATTTACATGCAATAATTAAATATAATTTTTTACCAAAGGTCCTATTTGGAACTTCGAAGGCCCATATCTCGATTTCGGAGGCTAACTTCGAAAAACGGAGAAATCCCTGTTTTACGTATGAATCAATCTTTAAAAAGAAAATTGGTGTGGTCCAATACCCAGAAAAAAAGTTGATTTTGCCGTACAGTATTATTAATTTACTCAAATAAATAATATAATAAAAGTGAATTTTAGTAAGGTATTTTGAAGTTATTTTATTTTCGTTAATCCCATTCAGCAAACTAAGAAAAGAAGTGACCTTCTGGGTACTATTTTTGATCTTCAAGGCCTTTCACCATAAATTTAGAAATTAGCTGAGAGAGAGCGTTCTTGGACCATTTGCTGAGTTAGGGCGTTACACAACCAAAATACGGCGTTCTTGAAAAATTTGCTGAGATAGGGCGTATTCGAACCAGCTGCCGAGATATGTCGATCTTCCACTCAGCCGTCGATATGTAGTATGTACGTTAGGGTGGTAAAAAACAAGTAAAGTGGGAATTTTAATGCTCTCACCCCTTAGGATTGTTCTATATAGAAAAAAAGATACCCTTATTTTTATTTTCAAATCAAAAAATATATGGAGGTCGCTCAAAATTATTGAAATTCGCAAACTTTGTAAAAAGAGCTTGATTTTAAAATAAATTTGATTGATAAGTAACTAAAACTCACGCCACCTCAAGTCAATGTTTGGTTTGTCGGGCTATGTCGTTGTTGCCGCCATCGGCGCCATCTGTGTGCTCGAGCTTGCAAGAAAATGGTGCAAATTCTATCCACAGATACCAAGGGTTAAAAACAGTGTTGCTAAAGCACAAGTAAATATGTGAATACATTTTTAAACGCTATTTTGAAATTTTTGAGATGCCTTAAATTTCTTTAAATATATATTTTATACATTTCGCATTCGAAGTGAAAAAACAACAAATATATATAAAATATTTCGCTCATGCGCAGCACGCATATGATTTCCCTTAGAGAGTACTCACTCTCTCTAAAAACACACTTGCACTTACATATTTACATACATACCTACATACATACCACTCATGCACGTATGAAAACGTACAAATTCCTTTGGAGAAAAACGATTAGAGCTAAGCTAAATGTCAGTAGCGAGCACGGCGGCGTTGACAAAGGCCACAGGATACAAAGGACGAAAAGAAATCGAAAGTCATATCTGAAAGCATTGCCAAAAAGTTTATACACTCTCTTGCATGTTGGATATACAGACAGACGGTAGTGGTGTGCTAAATGAAAAAAGGCATTGAAAAGAAAAAATAAATACAATTTAATATAAAATACAAAAATCAACGAAAGTACCTAACTATTGCGTTTTGTTTCACTTATAAATCGGCAGCTAAGAAATGTGGCAAAATTTTAGTCAAATAAATCTGCAACAGCACAAACGATTTAGTGGAGCAATAGGATTTTTGCTGCCGCTTTTGCTGCTTGGTGAGTATTACGACACTTTTCATTTGTTAAAATTAGATATTTGGTCTGCTGGATGAAGGTAGAAAATCGATATCCCAATGCGACATACAAATACATACAGATTTGGAAATGTTTCATACCTACAGACGTATATGTACAGATATATATTTGCATCGTCATAACAATTAGATATGTTCATTTTAAGAAATATGACTCTTTTCACTTGTATGAATTATCTCAACCTTGCTGATTTGAAATTTTTTCTTGTTTAACTGCAGCTTCCCTTTGTGATGGCCTACAATTAGGCGCTTTCACCACCAAAACGCCCAGGGTCACCAAGTATACGACAAAACCAGCGTCGGTAAGTTTATAGCGATAAATTTGGTGGGGCGTATTTAGTTGTTTCGTCATCAAACAATAATTGATTCAACGTTGAGACATATACATATGTAAATACATATGTATGTATGCCTGTAAGGATAACCAGCCGACTTCGATCGATATGCTGTGTGGCTGTGCCACGTCACATAAGGAGTTCGCTTGGACTTCGTTCGCTTTATACATTCATGTATAGCTATAAAACTTACATATCGCATACCGTCTTCAAAAGAGGTACAAATAAAAAAAAGTTGACCGAATTTTTTGCTTAAATTAATTTCTCAAATTCATGCAAATATTTTTTTTTTTCTTCATGGTTATATTCTCTAACTTAAAAACTACTGTTATACTTGTTTTTGTATCGATTGCGTTGAATCTGTACGATCCACAAGCAGATAAATTTCCGAATCTGATTTTTGAGTTGTGTCTCTTTTGAAAACGGTGTGCGATATCTGTCGCACACATAAATGCATGGGTCAATCCATGTCAAATCGACAAATGGTTGGAATGGGTAATGATTGAATAAATTCTGATCAGAACTTTTCTTTTATTATATAAGGAAAGGAAAAAATATTAAAGCTTTTGTTTCAAAAGTAATGCAAAGTTCCCAATTTCACAAGATCCGGAGTTTTCAAGTTAATGTTTTTGAATATCTCAAAAATTATTATGGGTACAAAAATGGCTCTGGTGTCGTTTTAAAGCTAATATTTGTGGCAAGAAAGAAAAAAACATTTTACAAAAATTGGAAAAATAAAACAATTTACAGAAGTTTGATACCAAACAATCCGAGTAGCGAAAAAAATGCTGAAATTTTTTGGAGATCAATTTTTGATTTTAAATATTTTTCGTTACTAACTCTAAATAAAATTATGTTACACATTATTTAATTTAAATTTATTATTATTTAAGCGTTTGCAATTTTATTTTCAAAGCTAAAAAGATCGTGTCTTAAAAGCACCTTCTTGAAAACTCTAGAATCGTTTAAGTTCACTTAGAGCTATTGTATTACAAAATTGAGAATAAAATATATAACTTTTTTACTTTTACAATTTTTTAAATCTGAAAATTCTGTAGTTTCTTTACTACTATTTAGTTTTTGAAATATTAAAAAAAACGTGCGAAATCTGGGAAATCGTGACTTTTTGAACTTACAAACTAGAAAATGTATATATTTTCTTTTGAAACCACTTCGTTATATGATAAAAGAAAAGTTCTGACCAAAATTCATCCAAATTAAAAATAGTTTATCCCAATCATTGGTCGATTTTACATGGAGTGACCCACATACATGCGCATACATATGTATGTATAGTACATGAACTAACACACATTTCAAAATGCGTACTTGTGTTTTCAATAGAGCTGGAAAACAATCGAAGTTTGGGACCATCGATGTTGTAGATGTTTTCAAAGAAAAAACATCAATGTACTATCGATGTTTCCTCAGTAAGGTTGGGTGCCAATCGGTAACATTTTTCTCCGTGGTAAGACGAGGAAAAACAATTATTTAGAATTTATTTAGAGTTAGTAACAAAAAATATTTAATATCTAAAATCTAAAATCTCTTTAGAAAATTTCCGCATTTTTTTCGCTACTCGGATTCTTTGGTATCAAAATTCTGTTAATTGTTTTATTTTTCCAATTTTTGTAAAATATTTTTTTCTTTGTTGCCACAAATATCACCTTTAAAACGACACAAGAGCCATTTTTGTACCCATAATAGTTTTTGAGATATTCAAAAAATAAACTTGATAACTCCGGATCTTGTGATATTGGGAATTTTCAATTGCTTTTGAAACAGAAGTTTAAATATTTGTTCCTTCGGCACAACTTCCTTATATAATAAAAGAAAAGTTCTAATCAGAATTTATTCAATCATGATCGATTCCAGCCATTTGTCTATTTGACATGGATTGGCCCATGCATTTATGTGTGCGACAGATATCGCACACCGTGAATAAATAAATTGCATTTTGCTGTACCAAATGCTAAGTAAAATTTTTGTGTGTTGCTGAAATTGTCCAAATGTATATATATTTTGCAACTTGTAAGTAGCGTACGCGTTTTTGTGATTTTTTCTGGTTATATTTTGATTTTCACTCTTTATTGTCGCCAAACAATATTGTGCATACATAGTATATGCTGTGAAACTGTTACCTAGCCCCAAGGTAAAATTCTGACGTTTGTATTCACCACGAGAAATGTCAAATTTTTAGTTTTATCCGTCAAAATGTGTATTATTTTCTATCAATTGGCACAGGCCCTAAAGAACATAAATGTATACATTTGGGATGAAATTGTAAAACAAAGTAGACATTTTGCATATTTTCTTCAATAACTGTATTTGATAAAAATATATTATACGTTGACTGATAACACATATATAATGTAACTTTTAGAAAACTGACCTCGAAAGGTGTTTTTAAAAATATAAACATATAAATACATGTGCGATCTTAACCTGAACAACTGCATAACTTGTCCTCTTTTTAATGTGACCTGGTATACATTTAATAGCTGTATGATTCCTGGTTTGACCAATTTGTAATGTAGAAAGCAATACATGAAACGAGCAAAATATCAATGACAAACCCTCTGCGGAAAATTTTAAATTAATATTTACTATAGAAAGTACGAATTAATTGGTTGCCTGGGTATTATTTAATGTAGTGATAATTGCAGTTCTATAAAATATTCGTCAAATTATTTCTTTGTCTCGACAATCATGCTATAAAAGATCTCACGAAAATCTAATTTTGACGGATTCATTAATAGAGACGATAATGTGTAATATTTCATAAAATATTTTTCTAACAAATGGTGTATTTAAGAAAAAAAAATACACATCGATAGTGACAGAAATAACATCGATAGTGGGGATGATTGGAAAACATCGATTGCCATCGATTGTTTTCCAGCTCTAGTTTTCAAAGTGGAACAAATAACACCAAGTTTTTTAATAACACCGTGCGACATCGATTGTTTTCCAGCTCTAGTTTTCAAAGTGGAACAAATAACACCAAGAGTTTTAATAACACCGTGCGACAGTAAATTTTACATCCAAAAAAATGTATGTACTCGCGAAACCATGGGCTAAATATTGTAAAACTGCATTTTTACGTTTTCTCTCTGACGTCAGGATTTTTTTTGAAGGTCTTTGAAATTTGAAAAATATAATTACTTAAAAAAATTACTAAAAAAAATTAAGTGCAATGTAGAAAAACAGTATGTCTATCAAATTAAAGAGAAAATGCCGATTACATTTTTTGGTGCTTAAGGACGATAAGGTACTGTAAATGTCCTTTTCACATTTTATCATTGAATATCCTTGAAATTTTACAATAATTATTTTCGAAAAAAATATATGCTAAGGACGAGAAAGCACTCGACCACATCCTCGAATTTCATCCTTCTAACTTTATTCACTTAAAAAAAATAAGTCTAATTAAAAGGACATTTTCAATACCTATTCGTCCTTGTGAACCAAAAAATTTTGATTTGTTTTAATTCTACAGAATTATCTCTTTCATTTGGTGCCCATACTGTTTTTCTACTTTGGAATGAATTTGTTAAATGCTTTTTTGAATCAATCATATCTTTGAAACTATAAAGTCCTTTAAAAAAATCCTGACGTCAGAGAGAAAAACTGAAAACGCCGTTTTACTATATTTGGCCCACAGTTTCGTAAGTATATTGATTGCTTCATGTGCTTCGAAATTTTTTTGTTTTTGTCGCACGGTGTAATATTCATAAATACTTGCAATCGCTTTACAAACTGATTAAGTGGAGCAAGGTCGTTAGAGACATCCTTTCTGTCATTTGCTGAACGGGTTGCCGGTTTGAATATTATGTGTATAATGAGAAATAACATAACATTGTATTCAAGGCATTTGGTGGGTGATTATTGCTCTATAAATGATAATATTACATATAGTTTCTCTATGCATAATACTATTTCTTTCCTCTTATTTTTTATTCGGCTAGTCCTCGTCAATGAATCACGAAGCCACCACATCAATTTATCGCCTCAATGCCACTAATGGAATCACTTGCATTTTGGTCAGCGTGGATGGTTTGATTAGCATTAAGTATCGAAATAAATTGAATGAAGATGTCGAGGCGGACCTCTACCTTCCCGATGATCCCAAGTTAAGCGGCGAATGTGTGGAGTCCAACTACGAAACATTGAGATTAGAGTTCAAAGGATTCGTGCTGACGATGACATTCCGCAAGGTAAACGACTCTAGCCATTATATCTGTATATCAAAGTTAAATATGTAGCAAAAATTTGAACCAAAAATAGTGTCTGCAGAGCTTTTAAAACTACGCAAGCGTGTATAAGTAAATGCTATGATTTAGCTATTCGCTGGGTGTGACTACCCCAGGAGACAATGCATGCAGAAAAAGTTCAAAGGATTTTAGCCCTATCAACTACGCATAATGTATGTACATACATATGTATATAAATATGTACGTACTAAGTAGTATATGTGGTTTATGTGTTTATGCGACATAAATTATGTATGCATATTAACGAAGCGTTACTATTTATGTATATGGCTCCCACAATCACGCCTGAATGTTCTCAATGATGAGTAATAAACACATACGTATACGATCGAAAATATTTGTATATAAAGATTCATAGGATGACCATTCTAGATTCAGCGATAGATCCGTACAGGTTTTTTTTTAGGTCGGAACCAGGCACAAAACAACGTGCAATAAACAGCACTCAGACTACTTGCCGTCCATTGTACTGGTTTCATGTCCCTTTTAGTCTGTTTTAAATCTGCACGATTTGCGTATAAACCTAAGCAGATTGTTCGGCGTCAAATAGCTCAGGTGTTCGTCTCTCAATAATTCTTTCAAAGGCGGGGTAGAATCAGTGAAGATCCGACAATGTGTGAGGTTGGGCTCAGTGCTGATATTAAACCAAAATTCATCCTCAGGGAATTCAACATTATAGAATCTCTTCAACAAAGGTAATAGTGGCGTACTATCCTGTGGCATTGAAAAGACACAAGTGCTCAGATCTCTGCCGCCAGCAATTTCAGCCTCATCCCACGCAGTGTTATACCAACATCTGTTTCTTTTTAGTCTGCAGGTGCCAAAATGCTGCCAAAGCTCTGGAGGTCTCGTGTTCCACGTGAGATTTCCACGACAGTTTTGTATCCAGGATTACTCCTAGATACTTCACTTCGGGAGAAAATTGAATTGTGACTCCTTTAAGTTTGAGGGAGACCATTCAACCTTCCCTTCTAGTGAATAGCGCAACACTAGTTTTGATTAGGTTAGCGGTCAGCCCATTTACATCACACCAAATGTCCATCATATTCAGTATTGCCTGCGCTTTCCTGCAAACACCCGGGGGTGACTAGACAGGCCACATCGTCCGCATAGGCTTGAGCGTAGATATCAGAGTCAAGGGCGTAGCCAGGATCTGATGAAAGGGGGCGGCCAAACGAAATATACTTGTTAATTTTTTTGATATATATTTTATTTAATCATTTTTACGCTAATACCGATTTTCGGCAAACTTTTGAATTATTTCCTCATGACACTCATGAGGCATAGTCCAGAAAGCCTTTCCTCTCCTGTTGTGCTTCTGAACCAGGTTTTTACTCTTCGAAATGTACTAAACGATCGCTCCTCAGTAGCTGTTGTGCATGGAAAAGCACTCAAAATGGAAATACACTTATCTATAGAAATTCGCTTTATTCTTCAAATAGATCTACAACTTTAGCATCCTTCAAATCTTCTTCAGACAAGTTTTGTTTCTTCCAAGAATTGTACCAAAGAATGAGTTCACTGCCCATACCTGGATCATAGATCTGTTGAAAATGCTGCACGTTCTTTTGTATCTTTTCACTGGAAAATTTAATCGAATACAATGGGTGCAATCTAGATTCTAGACAGCGAAAAAGCTGGACTATTTTCATGGGAAAAGCGTAGTTATAAAGACGTCGTTTGTGAAACCAGATACGGTATTAAATATTATAGACCGTTGTCAGTACTCATTTTCATTTACCGATGGGGGTTACTTCAGTTTACACGTGGTAGAGAAATTTCTACTCCTAGATCGGCTGTAATCATACGAGATTTTTTAATTAACTCCGAAGTGACTCCTTCTGCATTCTTGCGATCTTTCTTAACAACCTCCAAAATATTTGCAATATGCTGACCAACGGCGATGAGGTCTATTGTCTTCATTTGCAAAATGTTTGCTGTAGGTTCCAGCTTCATTGAATATTTAGCATTTCGTCGTCTCAGAAAACGGATGTAGAATGTTACAAAACACGGTTTTGAGAAAATTGACTTTGAAGTTTAAGGTCGAATTAATCCGAAACTGTACGGTAGATTTTTGTAACTTTTGAAGGAGACGTAGTTGGTGTTATTAGTTTTGATTTCCCATATTTTTACATTTAATATCTCTTAACGTTAATGAGAAAATTTACTTTTCATTCCGTATACATTTGTCGTAAGTAGCGTTTACTCACCACTTTGTTTTGTCCACAGAACATACGACAATAGTAAAGTATCTATTTCAACGACGATGGTATAATTTGATGAAAAAAACAGACATATTTATTAAATAATGATTACTTATTAGAAAAAACATAACAAAAACATAATCATGTATTTAATAAAAAAAATCTGTACATCTCTTATGCTGTAAATATGTTACGAACATACGTTTTCTTTATATAAAAACAAAAAACAATACTTAAATTCAGTCTTTTGTACATTTTTATCTCTTTCATTTCATTGCAAGCTAAAATTTAAAATTTTAAAGTTAGTTACTTAGTTTAATTTTCAAATTTAATTGTATCGTTATAGTAGAGGACCATCCAATTGTCGTAAGTTCAAAGTTTTGCGATACATACGACAAATGTTTTATGATTAAAAAAGGATTACATTTGTATGGGAATTTGTCGTATGTGCCACATACGACAAACGTTTTATGATTAAAAAAAAGGTACGTTTGTATGGGAATTTGTCGTATGTGACGCATTTTCAGCACATACAACAAAAGGCATACCCAATCATTAATATTATGTAACATACGACAAAATGCGCACGAAATATCTCAAAAACTAATGGAGATATAAAAAAATGGAATGGATTGCAGAAATCGAAAGAGCATGTCCAACTTAGTAAATCTGCATCAAAATCCCAAAATCGTGATTTTGCACATTCGTCATCCGTTTTCTGAGACGACGATTTGTCACTAACCCTTGCCTGCCCATGGTAGCCATATGGATATTAACCTTTATGTTCCTAATTTGGGACTGCGGGGTAGTCAGTAGCAGTTGTGGGTAAAAAGGAATAATTATTAGAAATAAATGTAGTATATTCATTTGATGTAGAATCATAAAAAGACCTTAAAACTGTCAACTTTTAAGAATATTTTAACTAAAATTCAAAATATTTTTTCCTACGTCAAAAAGTTCGGGGAGGAAAGGGTTAAAGCAATGATGAGTATCGGCCTTGTTATGGCAGTACACAATTGATATGCAGACTTTCTTGTGGCAAAGTTTCCCTCAACGTCCCACTTGGTCTGAAAAAACGTCATTTCCTACCCAAAAACGTCTTTTACAAATGTATGCACACAGAATTGTTCTTATTAAATTTTTATTGTATACATACTACATATACATACATATACTATAAGTATTTACGTAAGGTATATTAAACTATAATTTCGACAGAGCACATTTAAAATTCATTGTAAACTGGTTTGAGATCGTTAATATAAAAATCATTTTATACATACACTTGTGATCAGCTGATTAAGTCATCAACATTTTGATCGATTGTGGCTGTTTTTCTTTTGTTTATTATTTTTCCATAAAAGCCTAGCTCATTATATAAAAAAAAACAAAATATAAATCCACATTTCAAACTTTGTGAAAAAATTATAAAAAATATGCAAAAAAATATGCAGCTAGATTTTCAACTTTTTTCAGATTTTTAAGATTTTTTTGAGTATGCTATCAAGCCCCTTAAATTCCATGGTAATAATGTGCAAGTTTTAAGTTACTAAGGAATCGCGTTCACGTTTCATTTTTTTTTTCTTGTGGACATTTGCTTAGGTGGTCGGTTGTCGAAAATGCTAAATTACCATTTAACCATTTTTTCATCGCAACTATAATTTATAGGTCCGCAAAAAACCCACAAAACCCCTGAAAAATGCAATGGGGCGACCAATAAAAAATCGTTAGTTTTAAAATATGGTTAAATAAACAATTGGATAATATTATTGAAAGTATCCTGAAGAGAACCAAAGTTTTCCGATATGAAAATTTTGATTTTCAAGAATTCTATACCACTTCTACGAAAAATTTTATTTTTCCCATATAAAAATACAAGGAAAATTTTGAGCGCTTTGAGCGACATCTAAATATTTTTTGATTTCAAAATAAAAAAATAGGGGTATACTTTTTTCAATATAGAACAATCGTAGGGGTGAGAGCATTACAATTCCGACTTTACTCTTTTTGGACCACCCCAGTGTTTACACGTCTCTAGCGAAATTTTTGTCTAAGCTTTACGAAGCTTTAGAGCCATAGAGATACATACATACATATATGTATGTATAAAAAGACCTTGAAGACTATTTATAGAATTCTTAAGCTATTTAGATAATAAGATGAAAAAGAAGACAAACTCTATTTATAGGTGTCCAAGTATTTAGTTATGAGCGCCTTATGGTGTTTTCGTTTCTACCAAAAAATATCGCCTTTTGATTGCGCCTTTCTCTTTCGTGTTCGATTCTAAAATAAAGGCAAACGAAGAGAAAAATTTGTGTTCGTTTCTTAAAATATCACACTCTTGTGAGGCAAAAAAGGCACATTCTCTGCTTTTGAAGCTTTGTCGAGGGAGATGGTTGCCCTGAAGATCAGATGGTTACTTAAAACGACAATATTATTAAATGCGTGAGCTATTTAGGCGAGGACAAAAGGTGCATTTTTACAGGATTGAGTGTAACATCAAATACATTTTGCACCATGAAAGGACATAATTTTTTGGAAGAAACGAAATCACCATTAGTTTTAGACAGTACCTTGTGAAATATCTTCCCTTGTGACAAAACAAAAACAACATTTATTTTGAACACTCTTATCAACTCAGCGAAAGAAAATTTACCTCTGCTTCTCTTTCAATTTACTTAGTCCTCCGGTGGTGAAGGCTGGTACATCAACCTATTCGAACTCACTTACTCTTCATCGAATTCGCTCTTCGAACATCCTGATCGGGCTAATTTGGATGTAAAGCTCACCTCTCCAGCACACACACCCATGTACTTCCCAACGCCCGTCGGCAAATCCTATGTCTGCGATAAAGAGCAGAGCGTCGTTCTGTATGCGCCAATCGATTCGGGTGATATGTCTGGCCACATTGCGCGCCTCTATCTGCGTGATCTGCATATGCAAAGCTTTATGTTCAAGGAGAGTGGCAAGTGGGGTCCACCGTTCCATTGCAGTGCCACTGGGTCATATCGCGATGAGACAGCACCACTAGCAGTGGGCACTGCGTTGGCGATAGCTGTGCTGCTGACCATTTCCGGCTATGGTGGATGGCGGTAAGTACATATATCTACATACATACATACTAAAAGTATGAGTGATAAAGGGTGGGCCATTTTATTGATTTTAATTGAATTTATATATTTTTTTAACTTGTAGCTATTTCAAGATCAAGAAAGTGCAATATGGCTCGATGGAGTAAGCTGGAGTGGCTTGCTGTAATGTGTATGTATGTACAGTTACTTCGACATTTACGTACCTACTAAAGTATGCACCATAGATTTTACAATATCCATATATGTATATTGTGAATGGTTCCGCTTAATGATAAATATCTGTTATTGCTCCTAATAGAAATTTACAAAAAAGTATTTTAAAATAAACTGAAGAAAAAGAAACAAATAAAATTATCTGAAGGAGTAAAATTATTTCGTTATTCGGTAGTGTATTTGAAAATATGCAGCAAAATACGCTGTGCTAAATGCATGGCGATGAAGCGGAGAAATTGTAAGCGAAATAATAAATGTACTTAAGTGTACATAAATATTTACGTGCATGAGAATTGCAAAAAGTCTTCCATTATTGTTAAATAAATAAAAAAGCACCAAATTACGCATAATGAATGTAAATGGACACTGCAATGTGAACATATCCTAATCTACACACACCTATATATACTATTATATGCACATTCAAAATATTTTTGATGGGTATGTTTAAAAAAAGAGTTTTGTAAATATAAAACTAGTAAAATTTGAACGCTGATACTATGAAAATGCTTTCTCTTCAAAATAAAAATTTAATTGAACCCGGTTTTAATTACAAAACATAGCAAATTATTTGCAGACGTTCAAGAATTTCGAACGGTATTATCAATTTCCAATATTAAATTTTACCTTGAATCGCACAAACATGCATACCACATATGAAATCTTAATGTTGTTATTTCTTGCAAAAAAAAAGAATGTATGTACATACATATATTATGTATTTAAAAATATATATAGCACCACGGAAGCTCTCGGTTAAATTGTCACAAATTTAGCTTTCTTCGTTTAAACATTTTGTTAATTTACTTTCTGAAGAAAAACAATTTAGTAAAAATTTAATGTTTTGCAAATAAAAATTTATATCTATGTAAAGAATAAATAAGATGCTGTAACACTTAAAATATAATACTAATGTTAAAGCTGAATTGAAAAATATTTGATATAAAAAAGAAAATATCGAAACTGTTTATAAGATAAATTAAATTAAAAATTAAATTCATTAATATATTAGCGAATTATTACTAAATAAAAAGATTTTTATAAATTTGCAAATTTAAGTTTGAGTGAATTCTTATACATTTGCATACATAAGAAGTATATACAAAACAAAAAAAGTACCTAAAGATTACTAAGCATCAGAACTTGACATTAGATACCACTGAAAATCATTAAGAGAAAAGGTTCTTTAAATTTAATTTGCCGATTTGTTATTAAATTATAGAAAAGCATGAGTATCGATCTACTAGAATTCATGTCTGATAAAGCATAATTTGGCTAATCGAAAGTACTAAAAATTCGTATGCTGAAATGTAAATAGTTAAGTACCCAGTTTCCCTTAAAAAATTGATACTTATTATACAAAATTACCTATATAAATACCGAAAGTAAATAAATATATTAAACACCAATCTTCCTTTTCTTTTTCTTATTTGGCTCTACAACGATTCGTCGGTTTAGGTCGAGGCCAAACAACTTCACCAATTGCCTCTCCCTTTTATAATTTTGCGCCATTTGTACATGCCGTGTTCCTTCCATTGTGTTCGTGAGCGCCCTTCCATTCGCTGCTCACCCATTGCTCACGCGAACAGAACTACAGATCTTGCCTAAGTAGTTCAGAATAAATTACGGTAATGTAAATACGGAACATACATTTTAGCATTCAAAAACAAAAACAAATTTTTCCAAGCGCTCAAGAAGTATTGTCCATCGTACTTAAAGCCAAGAGAAATTGCCCCTCTGCACACTTACCAGATTACTTTATGAATTTTAGCAGTTTGTATTTAGTTGGGTTGTGCCCCGTAATAAATCTTATCAGGGCTCTTAGATTCTTTGTCTGAAACGGAATTTTGCTATCATCCTGTCAGGCATTTTCAGTAAACACTTGGTTATTTTGCAGTTGTTAATAGTGCACTAACGGCACTCATGAGTTTTGCTTATGAGATCCTTGACCGTTCCCTCTATGCTTGGTTCTAAAATTGGCTCTGGTCAAATTGGGTGCTTCAGAGAACCGCAGTTCGCCAATACATCAGCCAGTTCGTTACCTTGAACACCGTAGTATTCTGCCACCTACACAAGTTAAAGCTCATTCAATATTGTAACGGAGTTCAGACTCAACTTACACTCCTGGACTATCTTAGAAGAGGCGCGAGCGATTTCCAAGGCCCTAAGAGCAGCTTGGCTGTCACTACAGATCTTGATTTTATGTCCGCGCCACCTTTCGCCAATTATCCAATTATCCAGTTTGCTACTTTCAGTATTGCAAAGACTTCTAATTGAAAGACCGTTGCCATTGCACCTAAAGCGGTAAAGCATCTGAAGTTACCGTCCATCCGGCTCTAGTACTGTTTTCACAGAAACCGTGCTTTTGACCATGGTTGTCCGCCACCATTCTACAGCAGAGTACGTGACGTTTGGTCTGGCTGAAACTTTTATATCCAGAGTACCATAGCCGGTATCAAACCCTAGGCCTTGTAAAGGTTCTTTGACACTGTCCGAAAATTTTCCGCGCTGGATTTACCTTCAGCTTGATGTGAGTTTTCCATGTCAGTTCTGTATCTGGAGTTACCACCATATATTTCACCCCTAGATATTTCACAAGTACTGGAAGTTTGAGACCTTCCAACTTCGTTTTCCGCGTAAACAAGACTAGATTTGTCTTGCTGGGATTGACAGTATGGGATGAACACTAAAGGCCCGGCCACACAGAAAGCGGTCTGTCGCGGCGGGAAGCGATCCTGCGGTTGTCGCGGCGGTCTGCGATATTTTTGTGTGAGCGGTTCAGTGACTTTTCTCCAAATATAATATGTATAGTGTGTATTCGAATTACTTTTTATTTGTTATTTTTAAATAGTTGTGCATCAGTGATATACCTTGTGTTTATGATACTACATAACCTCAAATGGGTAAACACATTTTTTCGCACTTTTATTTTTGTTAGGTTATCTCAAACTTCTGATGTGGATTCGGATACAGCATCTAAAATTCTACCGGAAATCACATACCACAAACTTTCTTTTAATTTTTAATCGAAGCTAGCAAAGCGATCAGCAGGGAAATCTGTAATTTTGTACAACCGGATCGCTCGTCGCCACGACAAAGACTAGCTGGAGGCTGTACACCGCGTCCTGTGTGACTGAGATGATTCAAACCTGAATAATACAACCAGACCGCCTGACCGCCTCGGTCGGATATCGCTTCCCACCGCGACAGACCGCTTTTTGTGTGGCCGGGCCTTAAGAGGGCTATTCACCAAAACCCTTGATCCAATGTATTTCGCGACAGTGCGCTCCAAGCTTTTCAGCATGACGGATGTCGGGCTGATTGGCCTGAAGCTTTTTGCCAGCGCATGGAAATCCTTTCCCGGTTTGGGAATGAAGACTACCCTGATTCTTCTCCAAGGAGTGGGAAAGTGGCCAAATGCCAGATAGGCCCTAAAGACTCTTTTCAGAGCCCCTACATTTAAGCCCATCTCCCTCACACTTTAGCATTTTCGGATACACAACATCTGGTCCCGCTGACAAAGAAAACCTCACTGAATCCTCAGTCACCATCCATGATGTACTCCACCATTTCCCCGTCTGTGTCAGGAACTATCCTGTTTTGTATGTGCCTAGCAGCGACGTGGTGTAAGTTTCATCCGACTTTCTGAGAGAATCAAGCCTAACCGCCAGGTGGAACTACATAGCCTGACAGACTCTTTCATGTTGTCGATATCATTGCAGAAGTCTCTAAAAGAGCTTAATTTTCATATGAGAATTTACCTCTTATATTCCTTCTACATGTTATGGTGTTCGGACCAGTCCTCCTCCCTTCGACTTTTTGAAGACCTATTCAGAAGTCTCGTGGACCTTCTTCGAAGTTTGGTAAGCTTCTGCGTTCCGCCATGGGTCCGCTTTACCCTCGCCTCTTGAATTGATTTAATGTTTTTGCGGTTAGTGAGATTTTGATTGAGCCACCCAAACTTCTCCCAATCCGCCTTTTGAGGATTCCGACCTTTTGGCATTTTAAAAGTATCAACTCCTAGCCGAAATTCTATAATAGAGATTCCTCTTCCAAGACCATACATCTCTTCATATGATTCGCCATAACTTAAGCACCTTGGGTCGCTCTGGCTATATTTCCCGACGAGCTCTCGGGAATGGACATCAGTCCACTGAAGAGCTTCGTCGTAAGCACGGAGCGTTTCTCCGGCAAAAAGCCGTAGGTGTCGTCTTTCTTCCATAGCTTCCCCCTCTTTCCCCTACCCATTCACCCTCTTTTTTCCCGCCTCCTTGCGTCCTTTCCCTCCCCCTCTAAGGGCATCACAATGGACAGCTTAGTCGAGTCCAAGGGTGCCTCCATATGTGGAGGCAGCCCGCTTATCTAATCTAACCTAACCTAACCTAACTTTATCAGCTTTAAAAATTATCTATTCGTCCTTGTGAATCCAGAAATTTGATTTTTTTTTATTCTTAAAAACATTCCTCTTTCATTTGGTACCCATATTTTTAATCTACATTATATTGAATTTTTTAAATAACTTTTAGAATTAATCATACACTTTAAATTAGGGTACGAAAATAAACTGTACAAAACAATTCCCATTTGCTCATCGATCATCATATCATTTGTGGTTTTGTACAGTTTTGTACATAGTCAGAAACAAATTGTAAGATTCACTGTCATTTTCCCCAACGAACAACGTTTGCATTTCGTTTATGACAATTGTACCATATGGTACGTTTTATATGTATGCAAACGTTTCAATTACGTGAAAAATATTTTTTTCTGTAAATTTTCATATCCAATTCGATCAAAAAACATTTTTATTTTTTTTATTCATTGCAGCCATTCGTTTTGTATTTAGTTATTGCATATATGTACATACATACATATATTTTTCTCTGCACGATTCATTTCGTTTGTTGTTTCGTCTGTAACTACTAAACTACTGTAGTGTACTATCGCCAAAGTGAACTCAGCCGTTTTGTTTTCGTATTGTACCGAACTGTTAAAGTAATAAACGAAACGAAATAGTAAGGTACAATATAGTTTATTTTCGTACACTGCTTTAAATAAAAAAGTACATTGCAAGCCCATTTATTCATTATTAATTTTATGGTACGGGAGCTTCTCAAAAAGTAATGAATATCTACATTCCGGGACTTATGCCGGGATTCCGGGATTATAATAACGACATACCGAAAATCTGGGGATCATTAAAAGCGAAAAAACTAACATCCCTAATACATATGGTGGACTCCTGCTGTGTCAACGGCATTTCCAATAGATTTTAGTAGGGCACTTTTCAAAAGCACAGAATTGATATTGTAATAAGTATTGACCTAAGCCAATTTGATTTGGTTAAGTACTGGTGATTTCTTTGGCTTTCTATGCTCATATCCTATTTCTCTAAGTACTTATATTGGTCCCGAGACAGCTTTGCACTCATTGAATTCTGTTTAGCCATCGATTTGTAAACTACGTACAGGTACGTACAGGTACATTTATTAATTTGCATAAATATATTTTTAGTATTTGCATATTTATATATTTGTATTGCAAATGGACACTCATAAGTATTTGTGCCACGTATGGTTGGTTGGTTAATGCATTTAAAACCGCTCAAAATTTCCATAAACAAGCATCACCAGTTGAGTAGAAACATTTTGATGTGTTTGCCATTGCGCACAAATCGTGCAAAGAAGAAATCG